AAAAAAAAAAAATTAATTAAAACATTATGTTTTAGAATAAAATAAGATGAAAAAAAAAAAAAAAACAGCAATTTTTTTTGTACTGTAACATTTTACTAATGATTGTGGAAATTTTTTTTGTATTTTTTTGCTCTTTTTAGTAAAAGGGATACAAAAATTGAATTATAGTAACGGCGCTTTATCGCTGTTTCATTTTGCCATCTGTAAAAATACTGCTATTGTTTTTTTGGTTCTAGAACTGCAAAAAATTCCTTCTCTTTCATTTTCCTCGTTGTTGGATGCATTTTCTGTAAGATAGATAGAATTTTGAAGAAAGTTGTAAACGGGAAGGGAAAAGTGAGAAAGGCAATGAAAAAAAACTGGAATTTTTTGTAGCATAAAAATTGTTTGGTTTGTTTGCTCGAAGATTTAAAAAAGAAAAAAATCTTTTTCAGATGGCTTTTCGGAAAGAAAAAGTAACCATTTAAAAGAAATTGTACGTTTTTTGTATACTCTGCAGTTGTTGTTAGAAGATTTTTCAGTATTGATATGCGCAAAAAGTAGGAGATGATATTTCAGGTGTAGGTGTGGTATTTCAGTCAGAATTACCAACAGAAAACTGTCATTGAAATGTTACTGAACTGTTACATAAAATTGAAGCAGTTGATTTGTTGTTCACTCGTTCAGATTCTGAATTCATTTTTTTCTTGCTAAGTTGATGAAGTAAAGCAGATAAAATGAAGCAAAGAAATCAAATGGCAACAACTGCTGCCGATGTTTGATTATAGAATTTATCCTGTAGTCATTTAGTTAGCCTATCGGGTGCTTTTAATTGGGGGTATCAGTTTTAAAAGAGGATTAGAAACTGAAACATCATCACAGCTGAAGCGTGAGTTCTTTTGTTGTTTTTGTTTTCTCTCATCTTTCCTTAGCATAAGCTTGTGCTTTTTTTTTACTAAGCCGTATAATAGTGAAGTGTTGGTGGTTTGAAGTGCTGTTACAGGAAGACCAAGAAGGGGCAAAAAAACAGAAGGCATTTGAGCTGGTTATATTTGATTGAAATTCACTTTTACTACAATTTTCTCTAATTTTAATGTAGCCAGATGACTGTACGTGAAACCGTCTTGTTTTTTTTTGACTTCTCTAATCTGTTTGGTATATGGAAGAAACTGGATTGTGCGATGACTTTTATCCTGTGCAAATTAATCTTGAAAGCTCTCTTTTATCAAAGGTATTTTCTAAGGTTGGCCTAAAGCAACAGCAGTGTGGTTTTCGATATATCAGTTCATCTTGAAGGTAGAGGTTTAAAGAAAAACCCGGTGTTCAATTGTTTTACTGCCAGTGTTGTTATTTTAGTTTTTTTCTGTCAATGCGAGCGTTATTGACTGTTAGGATTCGAGCAAGTTAATGTGAATATGAAGTGAAAAGTAGCGGTTAAAAATTCAAGGGAAAAATCTATGATATTTTTTTATAAAGTGAACATATAAAAACATTTGTATCGCTGTCATCAATTAAGTGATCTGTGGCTTTGTTAAGAAAATGAGTACTAGGATTTTGTCTTTCATTGAACGGGATCGTTTTGTTTGCTCAAAACGTTAGAAAATTCAAAGATGCTGAAAAATAATGATTGGTATTGGTTTGTAGGTTGTCTAGGTGGATTGTTAAAGGTGTTTGAAATATTTATTAGCGAAAGGGTTTGATGAAATTATTTAATTATAATGCTCTTTGATTACTCTTAATTTTTTATATGCATTTTTCAAACATATGTATATATTTATTTACAGTTTACTGTTTTTTTCTTTCGCCTTGTTCTTCCTTTTCCGTCGTATTTTCGTGTGTTGTTGTTTGTACCGGCTGGGCTGACGTTTGTTTTATTTGAGTAATATTTCAGAAAATGAGTAATGATAACGGTGTTCCAACTCAGCCTGAAGAGGCTTTAAAAGTGACGATGGATGATAATTTGGTAAGTCACTTTGTGCTTTATAAGCTGTATTTGTTACATTTTATAAAAAACAGTATGATTTTTGGATATTGTTGATTAAAAATTGTTTTTCCAAATTTGTTAAGACAGTGGACATCAGTTTGTTTACATGCTTGCTACACTTCTTTTAATTTTACTTTAATTACCTGAGCAGTAATATTTATTTTAACACGAATCTTGATATTAGTAATATATGTATATATTTACTTATTCGTTTATTTATTTATTTATTTGTTTATCGTTTACACGTACATTAACCACCGTAATTATAGGGTTACTGAGCCCAACAGGGGAAAAATTTTTAGATTTGATTTATAACTGTTGATAATTTCGTTTTTGGATAATGGTTATTACTGGATTTAAAGCTGGATTCACGACCAGTATTTGCAAATCAGATTAAAAACCTTGCTAGTTATTTACTGGATATTTTCCTAATTACAATTACTAGTCTTCGTTGATGCAAGTTTGTAAACGCCTACAAAATTTATCACTTTGTAGTAGTATGATAAAAAAGGGTAGTTTAATTTAAATTTACGTTGCTAGAGCTGCATACAATTTTATAAATGACTAGAAAATAACATTAAAAATTATTTTCAGCCTGCGAGGCAAGCTAAAATTATGGAAAGATTAACAAGCATTCGAGAAAATAAGCAAAAGATATTGCAAGTTTTACGGGGACTACAAGAAAATCGAAAGGAGGATGAAGTAAAGAGTTATAATTTGGAAATTGTCAGAAATTATTTCAGAACTTTTCTCATCTCTTCTCTATAGTCATGCTTTTAGAATCAGTAAAAAAAAGTATTTGTTTTTGTTAAATAATAAATATCTGACTGGATACTTCTGACGTTATCATTGAAGCTTAAGGTTTTGGCTGAAAAATTATGAATCATTTATGTCTTACTTTATCCTTTTGATAAAAAATTATATTATCTAGGAAATAGACAAAACACTCGTGGCGAAAATGATTGAAAGTTTTGATGCTCTTGGAGTGCAGGAAGAACAGTACATGAAACTGCTGCAAAACATCGTGGTGAGAATTGTCTTCTTTTTGTTTTGCTCAACATTTTTATCAGTGTGGAGGCAAACAGGGACCTTTTTTTTGGAGTGACAAATTATCGGTTTTTTCTTTATTTATAAGCTTCTTAGTTTGTTTATTTCCCAACTTCAGATACTTATAAGAATCATTTTCTTTGTTTCATAAACGTGCGTTAATGGAGCTGAGACATTTTATGCAGAATTCAGATTCAGTGCTAGTTTTACAGGGTGTCATGTCAAAAAGATTCAAAGAAACAAATAATGCATAACAAATTTTACTAAAAACTTTGTTACTGTATATGATGCATCGTTAAATAAAGTCATGTATTGTTGGTGATCTACTGGCTCATAGGGTCACTTTATGAGGTCGTTAAGTATTTTCTGTGAGCTTAATCTTAGAAAAAACAGTTAAAAATTGGCATACGATTGGTTAAGCTTGATATTTTAAATTATGCATTATAGACCTTTCTGCGCTCTGAAAATTTTCTTCAAAAATTTTTTTGGGCAGGTTTGGCGGTCGGCTTAGAGAGCCAAGAGGGAATCAAGAATTAGATTTGTATTAAATTTTTTTCCCATACATGTTCTTGGTTACGGATGAAAGTAAGCAAAATTAGATAAATCTAGCAAGCGACGGTGCGTGACGAAGTGTAACTTTCCATTTTTTTTTACTTATGCTCAGAATCAGATGAATAAGTTCCTAATGACTGGTTAACGTCGAGACTACAGTATTACCATTGAAATGGAAATTCTTTCAAATGATACTTGTGCTTTGCATAAGGTTCCTTTGAAGTTTGTTGGATCTTTATTATCTATAATATTGCATTTTTCTGCTATTACTTGCTCTGTAGCCTGTAAACTTCAAGGGAATTTAAGTGCCTTCTTTATCGCGGCTTCTAGATATGTAGAAAAGATGAAATAATTTTTTAGTAATAATATTTTCCGGGTTTTTAATGTAGTTTTTGAAGGCAGTGAGACTTTATTTTTTTATATTGTGATTAAATTATTCGAAAAGTTGTAAAGCATAGTTGCAGTTATCTGTTTTTTCGCAGATGATCCGGGAAAATGCAGCCGAAGATGTACAACATGAAGTCGATGAAACTAAGAAGCATAAAGCTGAAGGAGAGGAGAATAAATCGGAAACAAAACCGGAAGAAGGCTCAGTATCTTTGAATAAAAAACAAAAAGATTGTGATGTTAACGATGTTGACAAAAAGGAGGAGAATGATAAGCTAAATGAAAATATCAGCAGTGGTACAGAATTGGGTACTGAAGTAAAGACAGAAGCTGTTGCTAAACCCGTTGATGACAGTAGCGGTGATAGAGATGAACTTTGGAAAGAGGTGCAAATTGAATTTAAAAACCTAATTGAAGTTTACTTATTGATAATTTATTTGCATAGGATTTATTCACATCACTGACTCATTCAACTAAACCAGTCTTACTAGAGTTGGGTTGATATCTTTTCTTTATTTATTTTTGGTCTTTATTAGAACTTTGTAGTGGCAAGTTAAAGTTAAATTACTGTAAAACGCAGTTAGTTTGGTAACTATTTGCATAAAAATATGTTTCATTAGGATTTCTAAAAAATGAAGGGATGAACATTTTTTTTCCGCATTTGCGATGCTGTTTAATTTTTTTTTGTTTCTAATCAGGGCTATATTAGTCAAATCGGATTTTACAGGTTGAAAAAGAAATAGAAGAGCTTGGAAATGTTTCGGAAGAAACCGTTGCTGCGTCTGCTATAAATGAGAAACTCCTAGAAACTTTACAGCTTCACAAAGAAAAGGTATTTTTTAATGAGATTATAATGTTTTTAATTCTGATTTTGATTTACATCGGTTGCGTATCAATAATTTTGACTTTAATATTTATTTTTCAATAATACTGAAATTTTCTTAGAGGGAGACGTTGAGACAGTTAAGGGAGAAGGAATCAGAAGTTCAGCGTTCTGCTGCAAAAGATGCTTTGGAACAGGTGGAGCTAACAAGACTTAGAGGTATAGGAAGTTTTTTTTGTCTTAACTGGTTTTCAGTTTCAAATTTCAAGGACTGTCAGAGTAATTTGACTGTGATTTGGAAAGAAATTTTTTTTAATTTACAATATTATTTTGATCTAACGGTAGACTTTTGCATTGTTATTTGTAGGATAAGGTTGTTGAAAAGCACAGGACAACATAATTTGTGAAACATTACAGGAACGGCTTTGACCAGATTGCTTTAATACATTCTGACGTTATTTTGAACTGAGCTCAAAATCTTTGGATTTTTTTCTCGTTATTAGTTCGCGATGGCAGTAGCAAGGGCTTAATTTAGAAATCATTATATTGTCACTGTTGTTGTTACTTGATTTGTTGCCAGAAAATTAGTATTAAACCTATGGGAAAAAAGATCAGAAGAAATTCATTTATTAAGTGGTGCTAAATTAAAAAAGATATGGAAAGCTCAACTGCAGGGGTAAGCTTACGTAAAAAGTTAATTGCTGAGGAAGCTTAATTTTTATACAGATGGTGAGAAAGGGAGGAAGCCGGTTTGCGATGTGATCGATATTTGTGAAACAGTCCATGCATAACATTCGTATTTATTGATAATTTCAACAAATGCTTGTTTCTTTTTTTTTTTCTTGGAACTATCAATATTAGCGAAAAGCAGTTGCTGTGACTGTTCCAAAAAATTTTCCTTAGCTTTAATATTGTTTGTTTCTTTACCTGCTTACGTCCTCGATCTCTAAATTCTTGTTTCACTGAATATTAAAGCCTCACTAGTTGTTTTCCAATTCTCTTCGATTTTTTTTAAAAGTCAAGCATAACATATTTTAATATAGATTTGGCATTTAATGGACTGACACGACAGCGAAACGTTGCAAGTCTGACTTTTAATGAGGCAATTCCAGTGCATAGGTTTTTTTCATTTGATAAGATGTTTATTTAAGCCCCGTTACTACAGTGCAGTTGACTTCAGTCTAAACAATTTGATATTGATGATTTTGAAAAGTAACTACGGATGAAAAAGTCTCAATTACATAACGGATACTGCGTGAAAAATAGTTTTAAGATTTTTTTTTGGTTGCAGAAAGCTCAAACTAACAAATAATTAAAAATTCAAGCGCGTAGTTGTCCAATCAATTGGGGTCTATTTGAAGCAATTAAAATCGAAAATATGCAGAAAATTTCGTGTTCAACAACAATTTATTATAGAATTCTCTCGTGTTGTGCAACAAAATCGGCTTTTGCGAAAGCATTAGTTAGTTTTATCTTCTGCAAAATTGTTTCGCTAAAAAATTTATTAATTTCTTCTTTTAATTAAAAGCTATGTTTTTATGCGTTTTATTAACGCCAGTGAGAATTGCTATTGCTTTTGCTGTTGCTGTTGCCGTTGGTGTTGTCGTTGCTGTTGTTATGGCTGCTGCTGATTCTGCTCTTTGGATCCTCTATTTAAAGCAACTTAATGTTTCAGGTTTTAGTTTGACGTAGGTCGAGAAAACAGAGATGTAAACAATCTTTCGTTTTTTTTTTGTTTCTACTGTTTTTGCTAGAAGTCATCGTTGTGCAGTGTTGTTGCAGTTGATCCTTTTTAGTTTTTGTAAATAGGAGACACTGATGGCTGAGTTCTGCTTCGTGAAGATTATCTTTGATTGTATATGTTGAGAATGTGCAAATTGAGCCATTCCTGGTTCTTCCTAAACCAACCATTAAGGATGAAGGTATCTTGATAGTTTTTTTCTTTTTTGTTTTAAAGTAATCATAGCTTGGATGTTTTTTTGCAGTTGAATGATATTTTATTTCACTGAGAAACCGACCTCTCTAATTGCTTTTTTTTTGAACCATTCTACCGAGTTCATAAATTCTATGGAGTAATTTTATTTGAACGGCATTTGAAGAAAAGCGGAGGAGAGAAAGGGGAAGTTTTTCCTTTTTTTTCTTAAAATCTGCAGCTTCCTCTTCTTCCTCTTCTCTTCATGTGTATTTTTTGTCTGAAAAAATTTTTTATAATGGTATACGAAAGTTCAAATATCTGTTTCAAATTCTCATTTGGTTTCTTTTTTGTCTGCTATTTTTTTTGTTTATCGTTGGGTAGTACATTAAGAAAATAAAATTTCGTTTTGTTTAAGCATTATAAGATTTGCTTATTATCTTTATTTTTGCTTTTGGAATTTAACTTATAAAAATCATTAATTTTTTTTTGTCGGGTAATAAGGTAAAGAGTTTATAATGATTTATAATGATATAAGTTATGTTTTTTTCACCGTTGAGAAGGAGGGGGATAACCGCGAAATGGGGATACTTGGCGGTTTGAAAAGAAGGGGGTAAGTAAGGGAGTAAGTAAAGAAGGGGGTAAATAAAAATAGTAACAATAATAATAGTAGTGACAATAAAAACAGCATTAATAATAACAGTAGTAACAATAGTAATAATAATAATAATAATAATAATAATAATAATAACAATAATAATAATAATAATAATAATAATAATAATAATGATAATAATAATAGTAACAGCAATAATGAGAGCGGGACTAGCAAAAAAGATTAAGAGAAAGGCAAGAAGACGGGAAAAGAATAGAAGGAAAGCAAAGGGGATTGGACTTAAGTGACAGAATATAGCATAGTCAAAGAGAATAGCAAAGCTGTTAAATATTTTTAAAAAAAAAAGTGGAAAAAGAAGTCGTCAAGAACTTCCTTTTGTTTGCTTATTTTGTGTAATTTAAAGAAGAAGAAGAAGAAGAAGAAGGCGAAAAAAAAGGATGGATACGTTGAGATATGTTTATTCTAAGTGGTATTCAGTAATTAAGTTTTGTCACCACTATTGTTGTCGTTGGTGTTGATACTGCTGTTGCTGATGCTGCTGCTGTTGCCACAGCTTTTGTTTTGTTGTTGGGCAATTGTCACTGCTAAAGTGATATCCCCGGTGGAATGTTGATGTAGCAGCAGCAGCGGCAGCAGCAGAATTTGATCAGTTTATTGGGCACATCAAGGAAAAAAAAAAACTATGCTCAGTAGTTGAGAGTGGAATGTGGGAGTAAATTACGTTGTTCATCCAACAACGACGTTTATTTGAATATCCTGTTTAGTAAGTATGTCATCATAATGTTGGTTGTCTGGTTCAGAGGAATTATTTGATAGCTGCTTTATTGCTTGTTTTAGGAGAAGCTTTATAGGAGGATATGAAAAGCAAAAAAAAGAAAGAGAACTATTTTTCTGAACATATTCGGAAAAAATGAATCAAAAATTCGTAAATTACCTGTTTGTTGAACTCTTTTATGCTCATAAACTTTTTTTTTAGGCTTAGAGAAAAGTTTTTCTATAATTTGATTGAATGTTGCTTAGAAATTATGAAGTTGTGTCACTTAACAAATATACAGATGTCAATGTTTGCATATCAGAGCTCTTGTTTCTGATTTATCTAAAGATGTTTATGAACACATTTATAGTCACTACAAATGGTTTGCAAATTAACTTTTGCTATATCGCTTAATTGCTTTGTTTAGTCGCTTTCAAATCTTCAGTTTTTTTTTGCCCCTGAAAAATTGCAATTTGTTGTGGTGTTTTTTTTTTTTCTTGCTGTTTCTACTGCTGCGATATATAAATTTGTGTTCGCCTGATTTGGGTTGTGTTCGATACAGCATTGCTCAATGGAGTTGTCAATAGGAATCTTTGTTTTTGTGTCATAACATCTGAAGAAGTTGAGTGATTGCTGGCAGATATGATGGTTTGGTTTGTGGCGATGAAAAAAAAAAAATGTCTTAAAATTACATTATAAAAGGCAAATAAGGACAAAGTCTCATCTTCATCAGGTTTTTTTTTTTTTCAAATTGCCTCAACTTGTTGTGGCAGTGGAGTAAGTCGATAAAAAAAAGTTGTTTATTTTTAGAATTTAAAAAAAAAAAAGTGGAAGATTATTAGGCGACTGAAATGGGGATAAACAGACGGTTTTTGCTTCTGTTGTTGAAATGTTATGGGATTGGATTGATGCGTAGGACGGGGATTGTCGTTGATGATAGTATCATCAGTTCTGATACATTGAGTTGTACAATTTGGAAGGCAGGGGAGAAGGGGGGAAAGTGCTTCAAAAACGGAAAAAAAGTTTAGCAGTATGCATATTTGTTTTGAAACGACAGAATCAGTAAGGTTTTTTTTTTTTTCAGCTTCTGCTGTTGTTGTCGTTGCCGTTGCCGTTGCCGTTGTCGTTGTCGTTTGTTGTGGCAATGGTAGTGGTGGCGCTGTTACTGCAATATGTGAACGCTTTAAAAGAGTGGATTTTTTTTAATGAATTTTTCAGTAGATTGACATTTCAAATATAGCAATTTTTTTCTTATGCCACAAATTTATTTGCTTTTAATGTTTCATTATGTGTTTATATATGATAGAGGGGGGAAAAAAAAAAAAATATAATTTTTTTTTTTCTTTTTGAAGCACTGATTGTTGTCGTTAAAAATTATTTTTGCTTTTTTTTTTTTTTGGATTCTGATGGCGTCATATTTTACCTCATCTCATTATGCTTTATTTTTGTTTCTCTTATTATTGTTTCCGGCTAACAACCAATTGTTAATAATATTGGTTGATTTCACGTATGATGGATTCTTCAATGCAAAAAAAAAAAAAAAGTTCTACAAAATTTTAATGTTATATTTTATTTCTTGTTTTTGTTTTTTTCTTTTTTTTTATTTATTACATTTTTATTTAAAAAAAAAAGAAAATTTTTCTTTTTTTTTTTTGTTGGTAATATAACAACATTTATTTTTATAGTGAAAGTTTTTAGTAACGAGTTATAAACTTCTTATCTTTGAAGTCTTAACATAAATTGTTGAATAGCATTTGTACAGTGATCTGTTCTTTTCTTCGTCTTCTTCTTCTTATTTTTTTATTTTTATGTTTTTTTACAATTGATTATTTTCAGTTTAATTACGTGGAAACCATTTTTTTTTTTTGTTTTTTTTTTT